GAAAATGGGCGTAGCCACGCCCACTTATGGTTACATGTGTATAATTTGGTAACCGCTGCACTAATTTCTTCCAAACTTGGCACAGTTGTTAATCTTGGTATAACATACGAAATGGCCGAAAATTTTAAAAATCGGACAATAACCACGGCCACATCCCATATAACGGTAATTTAGAGAAATGCGAAATCTTCGATAAATCAGTAATTATTGAAGCTAATTTATTCAAAATTGATGCTTGCAACAATTATTTACCAAGAAATACGTTTAGAATAAAATTTTGAAAAATGGGCGTGGCACCGCCTACATATGATCACATATATGTATATCGGTAACCGTTCTACCAATTTGTACCAAACTCGGTGTGGTTATTATGCCTGCCACATAGAAGCAAAACTTTGAAAATTACTGAAATCGAACTAAAATTACGGCCGCTTTTCATATAACAGTAAATTTCAGAAATGCTTGAAACTTCAATATTTCGAAATTTAATGACGCTAATTTACTCAAAATGGACACACCCCGGTTTACCATGTAGCGGTAGCTTTCGGAAAGGTGGAAACATATATTTAATACTTGCGCCCGAACTTAGACTTTCTTACTTGTTTTAAGATGATTTGCATAGTGAAGACCAGTAAATTGGGGATTTAAAATTAAACCGTCGTATTCCTTGTATAATTCTCTATAAAAATAGGTTTCAAAAAATTTGGCATTTCTCAAGAACTATTTTTAAAATATTTTTTTTTTTATGACGAAATGCGTTTTTTTTTGTGAGAGTCAAAAATTTTTTTGTCATTTGTTTTCGAAAACTTATGATGAGATACATTTAGCAAGGTGTTAAACATCGGGTTTTTCCAAGAATTTAAATCTTATTGCAGATTCCGATAGAACACTTATCCAGGTAAAATATTTGTACGGCAAGATTTTTCTGTAAGGCGACAAACTCCTAGAAATGGGCGTGGCAATTGCAGCACTAAAGTTAGCAAAACGCAGATTTTATTGTGGATTTCGGCAAAATATCGCTTTGTTAAAAACGTTTGTTCCACAACTTTTTCAAGCAAAGAATATTCTAGAAATGGGCGCGGCTATGTTAAAACCAAAGTTCAAAAATTTAAGCTGGCGGATCCGCTGAATTTTTATTCGCTGCACTATGTCTATATCGTTGTAAAGCCCATACAGCACATCGTTAAATCGTCTGCTATATTCGCCATCGCCAATGCGTAAAGGTCCGTAAATCTTTTGCAGAATCTTTCTCTCGAAAACTCCAAGAGCCTCTTCATCAGATGTTTTCATTGTCCATGCCTCCGCGCCATACACCAGCACAGGCATGATACTTATAGACTTATAGAGTGTGATCTTTGTACGACGAGAGAGGACTTTACTTCTCAATTGCCTACTCAGTCCAATGTACCACTTGTTGGAGAGTGATTCTCCGTTGGATTTCAAGGCTGACATTATTATCGGTGTTAATATTGGTTCCCAAATAAACGAAGCCGTCTACTTTTTCAAACTTGTAACAGTCACGTGTGTGCCAAGACGCGTATGCTCTGACTGTTTGTGTGATGACAAGGGATACTTCGTTTTGTCTTCGTTGACCACCAGACCCATTCGCTTTGCTTCTCTATCCAATCCCGGGAAGGCAGAACAGACGTAGCCCTTGTTTTTGACGATAATATCGTTGTCGTCGGCATACGCTAGCAATTGTACGCTCTTCTAAAGTATTGTGCCTTAGAGGTTCAGTTCTGCATCTCTTATTATCTTCCCCAACATCTCCTATTCTGACGGAGCTGGTGTTATTTCTCAACGTCATTTTACACAGCCGTGTTAGTTCCGTGGGAATGCCAAATTCAGACATCGCGGCATAAAGGCAACTTCTCTTCGTGCTGTCGAGAACGGCATTGAAATCGACAAATAGATGATGTGTGTC